TTGCAGGTGATGTTTTATTCTTTTGCTGGTAACATGTATTTGAAGATGCTGTTAAATAATTTGTGTCCTTATTCTTTTGGCAGAAAGGCCACTTAGGCAGGATGCTGCTTTGTTTTGTGTGCATTTACAGGAATACAAATATGCAGTGAAAGGCATTTGTTGATTTAGAGTATGTGGTGATAAAATTGCTGCATAGCTGTATAGTTCTGTGGGTGCTCATTCATAGGTTCCAGTAGTAACTTTAAATACCCGCACCTGCCATCATAAAAAATACACAGCATTTATTGAAATGACATTGTTTTGCAGTTCTGGAAGTTCCAGTGATTTTTTTTTCACCGATTTCCAGACAAGTTGGGAAGGTTTTTGTTTGTGGTTTGTTTTTTTTTTTCCTTTTAAAATGGACACTACTTAGCCTGTTCTGTTTAGCTGTTTCTTTGAAATTTATTTAGTGCACACTGTTCACATTCAATATTCCTTACTGCAAGCTTTTTTCTTTTTAAGTTAGGATGGCTTTTTCATTCCTACTTCCGCTACCATTCTTTCATTACAGACAGAAATGTTGCAGAACTTAGTTATGTAAGGAGTGGCAATTTCACTGACATGAGTACATTTGGAGTTGATTTTACTTTTCCTTGGACAGCTTTGAAAGTAATCTGTTTGTGAAATAGTTAGAGGTGCTTTAAGGTTAATCTGAACTGCTTTTTCAATTAAAAGACCATTTGTACCTGAGTACCTGTGTTCTCATTAGGAAGACAACATTCATTGAAACTTCATATTTTATATAGTATCAAAAGGTCAATTTCTGGGAAGCTTGGCAAAGTTTAGGTAGAAACTAGGTTGCCAGAGACTCAATACCTGCTGGATACTCAGCAAAAATCAAGGGAGGGATGTGAACATTTCCCTCTTGTTGCATTGTACATATGTATATCTTGTACATATTTGTTCATTAGGAACAATTCAGTATATGCTATTGTAGTTTTCCCTTTTTGTCATTTTTTGTAATGGAAGAATGCTGTGCTTAGAAGTATGTGTCTGAAAGTTGTGCATTGTTCTGTCTTCTTGCGATGCCTTGTGCTGTTCCCCAGCTGGGACCTGGAGTGTGTAGGAACCTGCAGGGTAGGACAACAGGCAGCTGCTACTGCTTGTAGTGAGTCTCACGATATTTGATAGTGCTTCTTGGAGTCATGCAGAAGCCCAAGTGTCTCAGCTCTTCTAATAAATAAATAAATAAGCAGAAAACCCAACAGCTACTTCTGTGGTTTTGTATACAGGACAGTAAAGGCAAAAAGCGAAGGAAGCCTGATGGTAAGCAAATCCAAGTCTTTAAACAGGCAAACAAAACTGAACTGAAGCTCGTGAGCTCATAAATCAGCATCAGAAACTTTGATTGTTTGTTTGACTCAAGATTTTTGGGTGTTTGCAGGTGGAATACTGTTGGCACTTTGTTATATTTGGACTTCTTTGTGCTGTAATGACTTCATGGCCCTTAGACTAATTTGTTAGTGATTTTAAGTAGTTTCGTGTGAATATACACAGTGAATTGTGTATTAAAGATATTAAAAATATTCAAGCACTATTATCACTTCAGTTCTGTTCTCCACGTTGCTGATTAAGTGAGAGATTGGAATTAAAATTATTTTAAAATTAGAGTTAGACATAGTTTATTAGATATAGTGGTTTATTTCCTCCATTATGGTTCAAAGATTTCCTTATACTCAAAGTGCTGTCATTTACAGTGTAAGAACTGCTGAGTTATTGTCCTTCTAAATGATTGAAAAGAAATCACATTTCCATTGCTGTTATTTAGTGAGTTTTTGTTTGGCTTTGTGTTTTTTCTTTGCTGGGCTCCGAAAATAAATACCAGACACTTTTAGATGTTAAAAATACTCAGAATCCATGTTCTATGTAGATCCTAATGCTTTTTGGAAGCCTGCAGTTCTTCTGAATCTGAAAAGCATTTTTATTTTTCATTCTGTTTCTGCCTGAGAAGGAGCTGTAGTTACGACTTTTCAGGTGGCATGGTAAGGCATTTTCAGGACATGGTGGCTTTTTTGAGGACACATGAAAAAAGTGCACACTTTATAGCCTTTCAGACTAGATATGTAGAAATCCGGGATAATAAGTGGCATAAGGTGGTAGCACACAATGAGAGGTTGTACTTTTTTTTTTAAAGAGGTGGATAGCCTTCTTTTTGGCCTGAACTGAGTAACCTAATTAATATGATGCTTACTGTTTGTCTTTTAACTTAATTCCTAGCTGAAAGTGAACTTATTTTTAGCACTTCTACTGAATAAAGACCAGGATACTGATGTGAAGTCCTTTGAGTTCTTATTTATATGATGTATGGCTTAGTTTTGGTGTTATCTTTCTTCAAAAAGTGAATGTGGTCACACACCATAGTGCATCATAATCCAGTTAGTTACTCTGCTTGCACGCAGCAGGGCCGCTTTTGGTTTTGAAAGGAGTCCTTACACTGCTAGCCCAATTCAGTCAGAGAAAGATGATGTTCCTTTCAAGGGTTTTTAAAGAACAGTTTGTGCCCCATTTCTTTCTGCACGAAGTTTTTTGTTAATTGCTTGGTTTTGTTTGGAAATACCAGAAATGAAGTCTCCCTGTCAACACTTTTAAAAGTTGCGTACATCCTACAAAGGCAGTTAGATGAAAATTCTCTGGTTTTATGAAAGACAAACTCTGCTGTAGTCCAGTTTGTATAAGCTGCTAATAGTCTTGAATTATAAGATCTTTGTGGCCAGAGGCTTTGTTTTATTTACTTTCTAATACAATCAGAAAGCTAGTCAGATTTGTTAGTGGCGTGCATTCTTACAGTATGTGGGTGAATTTTCCTGGGTTTACAGCAATACCTTGATAAGGCATCGAATCTCCATAAAGTTTTCTTCGTTGCTTGATTGAAGAACTTAATGGTATTTAAAGATTTAAGTAAATGAAATAATTAGATAATAAATTAGATAAATAGAAATGACAGTAGTTAAGAGAAGAAGATATTTTTTAAACCAGCAATCATAAAACCCCCCTCACTTCTCAGTTGCTCAGCATTGTTCTTATGTTTTCTCATAAATTCATCATTGCTTCACTTCTCTATGCAATTTTAAAATTCAAAATATGTGCATTTCTAAATTTGAAGGAAAGACATCAGAACTTTAAAAAAAAATCTTTGAGGCTTTCTTCATAGATCATGGAGAAAATAGGTACAACCATCTCTCCTGTTTCTTCTATAATCTAATAATTGTTAAAGTTTGTTAAATACATAATTCAGTGTATTTGGTTGTTACAGTATTAATTTTGATAAAATAATTTAGACTCAGTACACTGATAAATCCTGATAAAAGTCTGCTAGCTTTAGAGAGATCTTTTGATTTCATATTGAAGATAGTTGTTGTCTTGTTCTGAAGAAAGAGAAACATTAGGATGGAGTGATTGTCATGCGCTGGAACTGATACTGCTCGTAAAGCTCAAGCCTGCTTCCTAGAAGGCAAAACTGATTTGGAGCAAATGAAAAGAAAAGATAGTAAAAATCGAAAAAGCAATTTCTACTCCTGAGATTTACTCTAATCATACAGTATGTGGTCTTTATTGGCTCTTGTGAGGCCTCTCAAACTTGTAGTTCTGTTGAGCTGTTTTGTGTCTTAGATGACAATCGCTTTTAGCTGTTTCAAGTCATGGGTGCACAGTATTGTGACCAAAGGTGCAATCTGTTCTTAATCATAAAAAATGAGGAATCGGGGAAAGAAGAAATTAAGTGGGAAAGCTACAAAGAAACCAAACAGTGGAGGTGAAGGTAGGGACTCAGGTCTTCTGTTTTATTTGATAATCAGGATTAAGAAAGAGTTGTGCAGCGATGAGAGTGTTGTTTGTTTAGCCGATTTTAGCAAGGTTCTGATTAACTAATGATACCTGCGATATCTTAGTAGATAGTTAGGTTCCAGAAGCTTGGGAGAAGAAGGAAGCAGGGAAATGGATAGCTGTAATAGTGTTGGTTTTCCTTTTAGGTCATGTATTGTCCTCATGCAAGTTCTATTTCTCTTTAACATTCAAAAACTAGTAAAAGGTAGACTAAGCTGCACACCTGTGACTTTTAGCTGTTGAATAGACCTAGCTGCCAATATGATGTTTATGGCTTATTAATTTCTAATTTTATATTAGGCTGTTTTTAGCACATTTGGTCTTAGTCGAGTCCATGGTTTATGTACATATGCTTTCTTATTGTTCTCCTTGTTTTCATCTTCATAATTTTTTTTTTAACCCTAACATTTTTATATAATTAACACATGGTTTTAGTTTTTAACATAACTACATCAATATTGGTGCTTCCAGTAATAAAACTGTATTGGAATAAAAATACACCAGTGCAAAATAACAACTTCTGTGTAGTAGAAAATACAAATCTGAAAAAGCTTTTAGTTTAGACTAAACTAGTTTAGACATCTAGTTTTCACAAACTTTCTTCAGTGTGTTTTTAAAGAACAGTGTTTTCTTGCTCTCACTTGAGAATTTTTTCAGAAGCTTTTGTATAATGTAGGTTAGCTGAGCGTATGTTGGAAGACTGATTTACTGTCTATGTTGAAATAAAATCTAAGAGCTGCATATGGTAAAATGTAATGTTGAAGCATGTATTCCAGGCTTAATGTTTATTAATAGAAATTGTGTCCTGCTGGTAGAAGTACCAGTAATTGATATAGCAAAAGGCAGCCTTGTTTGAATAACGTAGATTTCTGCTGCCTTATGTCACGTTGCATGCTCTTTTATTGTTGATTGTAGGTCTTTGTCTTCCTTCAAAATTCTGTATGGTTAAAGATTTGTTTATTCAAGAGAACTGTTTGCTGTGGGTTTTTTATTCACTGGACAGTGAGTAACTTATAGGCAATTCTCACTAAAACAGGTTTTTTTGTAATTGTCTTTTGAATATGTGCAGTATAACTTTTTCGTCTATAAAAGGCATAGCATACATTTAATATATTTGTCTTTTTTTCCCTGTTTCTAAGGCTGATAAAGAATTTGTGTGGTCTCTGTGGAAACGTCTCCAAGTGTCAAGTCCAGATCTTACTGAAGTTGTCAGCTTGGTTGTGGAAAGGTGAGTTTAAAAATTTAACATGATACTAAAAACAAAAACAAAACAAAAAACCCCTGCTGATACCATATTCTTTATCTTTTTAATTGAGAACTATGTAGGATTTAAAAAATGTATTACAAATATGTTAAATTTTGTCAAGAGTATCTGGAATATGTTACAAGTTTCCTTTTTTCGTATAAGTTGAAGTATACCTCAAAATCTGTTTTCACTGAGGTTGCTGTGCTGCAGTTGAATTCAATTTTTAAATTATAAATGTACTGCATATTCTATTTTTCTATTGAAAGAGCAAGAGGAGGTAATAAATAACATTTTCTGGTGTCATAAGTGGTTGGATAACAGTTACATATGTAAATTATGTTTATTTACATTCTTAAAGAAGTGAAAGGCTAAGATACGGTAAGAGAAGCGATGACTATGCAGTTTAATTATTACTCCTCTGAGGATATTAATGATGACGATTTCCTCATCTTAATACTTACATATTATCATCTGATTGCTATAAATGTTAGTTAATCGTCACAGTATGTGATTGTTTGTTTTAGAATGCTAATATTTACAAATTCAGAATTTTTGTAGGCCAAAGATAGGGAGAATGTGAATGAGTTGGTAATGTGGCTGTCAGAATTGAAACACTTGATTCTCTTGCGGTCAAAAGATTTGTCTGTTCTGTCCCTCAGGGTGCCATGAGTTCCCTTTTTTAAAATGAAAAAGTGGACTTTTTAAAAAGAAAAAAATGGATTTTAACTTCTTTAAATGGCTTGCCAGCATTACTTGGGAAGCTTGTCATAGGGCCAGGAGGGGTAGTAGCTCCTTTGGGTTCCCGTTCAGTGCTTTGATCTTGAAAGGCATGTTTTCTTTGTTCACATCTTTCCTTTCTGGACTTCATCAGTAAACGTTCTTCCACTTCTGAAAATATAACATTAAGTTTTTTAGCTGGGAATGTATTCACTATAGTGTTGTCCCATCTTCTGCATTGCATAAAGCAATGAATATTTTGTCCAAAAATATGGTGTGATCATGTAACTAGAGCTAATGAACTAAAGCATTCATATTCAGGGGGAGAAATTAATGGCGTTTTTTAAACAGCCTGTTTTTTAGACAGGCTTAAACCAGATTGTTTTGAGACAGCTGTTACCTGAGGGTGGTCACCAACGATGGTGTCAAATAACTTCTGGCTCTGTACTGGGACACTTACCTGCAGAGAGAAGTAGCTTGGCTGTTAGGACAGTGTACTGCTTTCACATTGCTTGGATGTTTTGATTTCGGAAGTAATTTTAATATATGAGGAAGACTTAGGAACAAATTTACAGCGTCCCTCATTTAGGTTGAAAAGCAGATTCTTACTGACTTGTTTCATGATAAAATTTGGTCATTCTCATGAGGCCAGTGGTGATAGTATCGATCTTCCTTCTTCAAACGTTAAAAAAAAAAAAAAAAGCAAGAACTGCTTAAATTGTATAAATATAGTATTTAATGTATGTAAACATATATTACCTGTATATAAGCAGAAGTACATTGAAAACATTGAAAAATTGTTTTGCCGTAACCACATTTTGTAGATAGCTGAACAGTATGGAAAACTTCAGCTCATTTACATGAAGCTTAATAAGGTAGAAACAGAGATGTTCAGGCTTATATTAACATTTTTGATTCGTGTCGCATATGAAAAATAATCCGGATATTAGGACAAATTGAAGCATAGAGGTGTTAGAAAGCATGCATTTAAACAATGTTGAATACAGTGGATTATTTGGAGTTCTTGAATTGTATACCTGTATAGGATACAATCTGTCTTCCTTGTTTATCCTTAGAATCATAGAATCATAGAATCATTGAGGTTGGAAAAGACCTCTAAGATCATCGAGTCCAACCGTCGAC